AATGGCATTTGCAGCATCTTGCCAAAACGACACTCGGTGGGCTGCGGCGGGGGCGGCGTTTATTGATTTTATTCAGGCAGAAGGGAATCGAGACAAATTATTTTACACTCGAGCGATTTGTGATATGTCTGCGACCTGCCCGCCTAACGCCAACCGCCGAATCATCGCGCCGCCTACCAGTGATTGACAGCATTTCCAGAAATCCCCAACGAAAACAAAACATGCACTGAGAGAAAGTATTACTATAATACAATATTAGAAGTATATATTGAAAAAATCTCAAAAAGGGCACTTGTCAAAATCATTCATAATAAGGGGAAAATTCCACTGAAACTGGATTAATGCGAATTCAGATTTGGCTTTTGATTTTCTGAAAACCAAAGGAAATCAAAGATTTTCCAAGAAAAGTTTATCCCTTTAAGCCGTAGCAATAAATCAAAGGGTTTCATTTATACATATTTCTCTCTCTGCAGTCAAAAATAAAAGACACTCGGAGTTGTCTTTAAGTTTTTGGCGCCTTCTGATTTCCAAGTTCATTGGTTCTGTCAAATTAAAATGCGTGTTTTGTGCCGCCGCACACCTTGGGGCGCTTCCAATAATTACAGGGGGCGGCTGCCCGGTGGCCCACGTGTGGCAGCTGATTGAAATCGACGTGGTAGGTGTCAATCTTTCTTCGTTGGCCAAACGAGAGTGAGAGACTTTGGCCCGCCCGTTGACTTGTCTGCTGTTGACTTATTTGCTCATCTGGCCCCGTGCCCACTTTCATTTCAATTTGCAACAAAATTTTCAATTTGCCAGAGACGTTGAAAACATTTGGTTGCAAGTTTTAAAAAAAAAAACCCACTTGTAATTGCTTTTCATAGTCAGTGCTCTCTGACTTTTGGACACTTCCTGGCCGCAGCACTTGCTGCATTATTCAGATTTTAATTAAATATTCGCGCGTGACTTTAATTGCTTGTTCATACGCACGAAGCGACAGATTTCCAGCGGCAGGTTCGTTGACCAGGCCAAAACACAAATACGAAAAGTGGCTGGGGGAAACCCGCTGACAGCAGATCCAGCAGTAAGTATTTTGATTAATTAACGAGCGACGGCCTTTGGGGGCAATAGGCATTCGAAGCTTGGAACTTGGAGAGCTCTAGGACACACCATGACACGCGCTTTTCCCCGAATATTCACAGTCAAGCCACAAAACGCAAGACTTACTGTCGAGTGGAGCTGCTTACTTGGCTCTTTTTTTGTGCTAGGGACCTCCCTGTAAGTAAGGTCCTTTCTATTTTTGGTAGTCCCCAAATTGGTCTTGATACTTGATGGGCAAACTATAAACTTGAATTTGCATTTCTTCCTGCTGGCAAAAATGTTGTAAAGAATTTACCAAAGCCGCCTTCAATACAAATTATTTGCGGGTTTGAGGTCTTAAAAGTATTTTTATACTCCCAGATAATCTCCGAAAATAAGCTTATGAGGGGTCATAAAAACTCTGCTTGGAAATTTGAAACTTCTTTTCCCAGCTTTGAAATTTTTGTTTGTTATTTTACTAAAAGATAATCTTTCTAACAGGCTTTCTGGGGGGGTTTAGGTTTTGATTTTTCTTTCTTCTAATAAGCTTCGACATATCTGTTTTTTATTAATTATAAACTTAAATTAAGTACTACCTAAAATAAATAATAAATCTATCTATAGCAGTTCAAATTAGTTAAGGATTTTAGCTGGTTATCAACCCAGACTTCGCATCACTGCCATCATTTTCGAATTCGCATGGGAGCTGCGGTTGTGGCGTTTTCTATTTTCTGCATTTGCGTCTAATTAAGTCAAGTTCAAAATTCTACTTAGCACAGAACGCGTTGCTCTCACAACAGTTAGCGATGTATGTGCCCTGCATAATTTATACACGCAGCGCATATATCTCACTCTTGATGTACTATATACATGCCTGATGATGATAGAAGAGGGGAAGCTGGGAAATAAGCAACAGAGACAGACAACTAGGGGGCTGTGGTTAAGCGTTCGTGGCATTTGGCTTTCATTAGCTAACTAGTAGAAGCCATCAACTAAGTGATTTAACTGTTGAATACCAGTATTTGCGAACACCGAATGCGTTGAGGTTTCCAGTCCTTTTTGGAATTCTTGAGGTCCTGAACTAAATGGAAATTTATTACTACAGCCACACAACTCATTTGCCAGGTGAAACAATTACTTGCAGTGCATACCTTGAATACGCATAAATAATAATAATTTCCCAGCAGAACGGAGAGAATTCACTGCCACATTTCTGCCTCCCCCTTCTCGCTTAATTAACACCCTCCAGCCACTTTGGCGATTACTTTTCCGCAGGTATCAGCAGGTTTTCCGGGGCAGCAGCAGCATAATTTATTTATAATTGACTTAATAGACTTAACCATTCCCTCACTCAACACTTAACACTTGGTATTTATTTCATTCGAATTAATTATTTCAGCCAATTTATGACCGTGGCTCTACTCACGCCTATTGCTGGATAAAAAGGAAAAATAATACCCAAAAAAGGGTTTCCCAATTTTGGCAGACACGCCAACACACACACATTATGTAGATATCAGTTTTCTGGGCCTTGTCGTTCACGTTTTGTTGCCAAATATCAATCAAACGCCTAAGTGTGTTCGCACATTCGGGAAACTTGACAGACAGGCAGACAAATAGATAGACGGGGTTAAAAGTATTTATAAATTATTGTACAAACTCATAATAAATGGGTATTGTTTTTCCCCTCTTGGGCTTGTTGCTTAAATATAGAAAGAAGGCAACATAAAATGGCATCCACTCGGATGGCAAATGGCTCAGCTGCCCACGCCAGGTGCCAAGGCAACGCGTCGTATACGCAATTCTTGTAGATTTTTCTTTTGTCTGATTGCCTGGCGAGAAACAAACTCATGTCTATGGCTTTAGACTTAGCTTAGCACGCGCCCGTCAACTTCTGCCCCCTCCTCCTTTCCCCCTTCCCTCCCCTCGCAAATTTCATTCATAATGTCTGGCTGGGCTTTTTGGCTGCTGGTCGATAAGAAAGTCAAACTTTAAACATATCATGGACCTGGCCAACTTAATCTCATGTGGCAAATGTCTTGACGCAATTTCGCCCAACACATTTTCCATTTACATACATTTGTCTAACTTTTGGCTATATAGGTTGACGGGGAAAAAAAGGGGGGTGGAAAAAAGATTGATGGGGCAGCAGCTGACATTCCCTCACTGAAGTCTGGCGGCGTCTTCATTGTTTTGCAAACTGTTTTACAGGTGCTACAAATTTGAATATAAATACACAAGCAGCCAGCGAGCATGCTGTGTGCAATAATAAAATAAAATGCCATTCAATGGCGATGTCGCACTGTGGTGAATTCTTTAAGGTTTAAAGGGAAAAGAAAATTAAATTTCAACGTAAATGGAAGTTGTAAATTTTATAAAATTTAATTAAAAAAGTCAGCTTTTAAGGAAAGCAAATGGTTGTTTAATAAATAAAGAAAAAATTTCAAAAAAAAAATGTAAATGCGAAAAAGAAAATCCTGAAAAGCAACTTATGTCTTAGAAAATTAACTGGTAGGGGCTTTCCTACTTTTAGGAACTACTAGTAACTAGTTTTGGTATGAGCTAGTTATAGTTAACCCTTTAACAGCTTCATTTAATATTTACCAAGAATTCCAACCCATTTGGGCCACAGTGCCTTGGCGCCACCTTGAAAAGACGAGTCGGCATTTTTGGCCATTGGGGACCATTCCAAGGGGCCGCAAATTTTGCAGACACACACTCACCATTTCCCCCCTTTCCTCGCTGGCTGCAACTTTTCAATTTGCTCGCCCCGACTATTTACAATTTAGGGTGAAAAACAAAACAACGAAACACGGGTGGAAAATATTTGTAGGCAAGCAAAGGAAAGTCTTAGTATCCAGTTTCGGCTACCATTTCGAATTTGCGTGTGTTTTTCGTGAGACTATGTCTGTCATTTAGATTTAAATTTAGTGGCTACTTAAAAAGACTGGAGCGTCTTAAGTGGATTTTCACCGTCTGAACTTTCGCCATCCTGACAATGATTTTCAAATTGTCAATTAGTCTGCTGTCGGCCCAATCAAAGTATCGAATGAGAAACAAGCTGGAGCATAATGAAAGAAATCCCCTCGACATCTCCCACCAACCCAATACCATTGGCAATTATCCTTTGGACACGCGTCACAATCCATAAAAGCTGAAATGAAATACTAAACTTGCGTCGTTATGACGCTGATTGCCATGAACTGCAAGTGCATACGGCGAATACGGCACATAGCACCGCATGCAACGTCCGGGTCATAAACATAAGGCGGAAAAATGGCAAAAAAAAAGAAATAGCCATGCTGGAGTCTTGGGGTGGACCTTGTTCCTTTCACTGGGCATCACGACTGGTTGACCTAATAAAGTTTGTGCCTTTTGCCATTCGTCGCTGCCATATTTTTCGCTGTGAAATCAATTTTTCATTTTGAGGCAGCATGACGACGCCATTTCCCTCTCTCCCAGGGCAAGGCAATATATATGCTTGGCAATTGTCATAGAGGACAATTGACATTGAAAGTGACTCCGGAGCAGACAGTGTAATGGTTTATATAATGCCGTCCGAAAACTGAAAAACAACAACGGCATAACATAAATATGCTGCAAGTGGCTCGGAAAGAACAAAAGCCAGATGCTTTCGACTTTTATGAGTCATACGCAACACTGCACAGAGTTCGCCAAAAACAAACTGCAGCAGACAAAAGAAATCCCTTTGCCAAGTTTCCAACTGAGATTTGCTAGATACAGATAGCACTTAACTGAAGGAGTCAGATCTGAATACAAAACTCAAGCTGCAATCTTAAAGGATTAATACTAAGTCAAGTAATCCATTAGCTCAACACTCTTTAGATAAATGAAAATTATTTACGATTTACAGCAGAAAAAAGTGAAAGGTTTTTAAGAATAACTTGCAAAATTTCTTCCAATGCACCGAAATGTATATAATATATATATTTTTTTGTAGAATATTTGTTGTTGTTTCAAGTTGATATTAGAGCTTTAACAACGTGTTTTTAGTTACAGAATCATGTGGGTTGCATCGAAATTAGTTCACCTGCTCCTCCATTGCTTTCTCCTGCTTGGGAATATCATCTCCTCTTGGGCTCTCCAAATCTCCGAGGCTTACCGCCAGGAAATCCAAAGTCTCGAAGGGATTTGGTCTAAGACGGGAGGCCTCGACTATTGAGTCCACTTCGTCAAAGCGCCGCAGCAGGCGCAATAGCTTGCCGCGTGTCGCCTCAAGCTTGGACTTCACCTCGTTATCCGGAGTTTCTGGTACCGAAGCCCTCGGACGGAAGTTGGGTTTCCGCTTGTAGTGGCGCAGTTTTAGAGATGCTTCACAGCCATTGAGTTCTTTTAGCCAGAGCCAGGAGTGATCCTTCTTCCAAGGTGGAATACTCATAATTGCTATCCAGTCGAGTGGTTGAGACATCTTTAGGGGATTTTTCGTTTAAAGGCTTAATTTTTCGTTTAACTTTTGACATAAGAATAATGTGGCTGTAACATTGATAACGCTAAATTCTGCGTTTTAGGTTTATTCATTAGTGTGACTGTTTCTCGTAATTAAGTGGTAATTTGTTAACATAACCTTAAATCAATGGTTGCAACTCTTATTAAGAGGTTTTTGCTTATATCAATTTCTTAGGCATTGAAAATTATTGGAATGCCCTTTAAACTGCTCATTTTTCTCTACTTTATTGCTGATCAAATCGCTGTTGTTATATCGCAATCCTCTTGAACGCTTCTCTGATTTTCACAATCAAATTCAATGCATCTCGACGGCTTTAGCACCAATTCTCAATCGAGAAAAAGAGATGCCAATGGCAGTATCTTAAGTCAATTCGGGTGCCAAGAAAAGTGTTGGCTCAACTGACAGCTTACTCAAAATATGTCAATCAACTTCAGCACTCGCAATCCTCTTTTCCCGCCAAGGTTAGGCCAAATATAATGCCAAGAACTCAGATTTAGGGCCAAAAGAGTGAGGTGTTCCACCGACTAGACACTTTTCTGGCTATTTTGCATGCAAATTAAATGCGCATTAACAGCAGCCCGAAACTTTAATACCAAGACGAACTTATGCAAAGCTCAAATGGGTTGATTCGCTAGTCAAAATACTTCAAAGCTCCTTGAGCCATTTACATATGTAAATATTAAGCATGAAAGACTACGCTTACGGGCTTTTCCACTGGCCATCGTCTTGTTGAGAGTGATTACGAGTTTTAATTGTTCTTTAAAACAAGTTGCGTAAATTTTATGGGCAAAAGATTATTAATATATAGAAAAAAGTATTGGTTACATGAAAATGTAAAGTTTAAGGAGCTTATGGTTAGACTCTTCAAGATGTACATAGAAAAACATTGTTAACAGTGCTCAGAACTCATAACTCTATAGAAATATTACAACACATTCTCATGCTAATGATATATTTACAAGATACCCAAAACGGCGACATGTGGTGCCGCTCATCTTCCTTCTCACCCCCCAAAAATCCCCTGGAAAATGGCAACTATCCCGCTGAGCAGCTGCGCTCCACCAAATTGATTGTGTCAGAAGGGTAGATGAGAAGATGAACAGGCGACCCAGACGGGTGTTTTTAATATAAATCATTGGCCAAATAGTTGCGTGCTCGCATTAGTGGGCCAAATACCTGGCTGCGGCGAACAAAAGTTTTTCGCATTTTAAAAGGAGAATTTATTTGCGAATTTCGGGCACGTCGTTCGAGGGCCTCCCGCAAAGTTGCGGCTAATCAATTTAAAGTTGCACTTGCCAAAGAGCAACGAACACGGACAGATGGATACCAGACGCTGCTACATATGCATGCATAAATTTACCGAGAGGCCACATCAAAGTTCAGGAGCTCCTTTGTTTGCCAACAGGCAACGTGACAATGCCGTTTGGGGTTTAAAGGTCTATTGTTCGCTGCTAATTGTTTGAGTTCCTGTCCAAGAGGTCAAGTCGTGTGCTGGATTCATCTATTCAATTAGGAATACGTTCTTGGCAGCACTTGACACGCTCTGGGTGTCATAAATTATTCCAAATCACTGAGCACAGGTAGGGTATTTAACTGGAAAGGGTAAACATCGTATTTCTTTGTCAAAGAATTTAATATTACACATTTTTAATTGATAAATTCCTGTTCTTAATGGAGTGCTCATGGGTACTAAAACCTAACTGGGAAACGATAATAAATGTTAGGATAATTGCATACGATATCATTCCGCTTGTGTTGTCTTACAACCCATAACTAATTTGCAAGGAATCAGGATACCAGCTACACCAGCTCCACCCAATTCAAAGTCACCCCCGGCGTATGCGCGATATTAATAACAGGCCAACAATCCCGCACCTGCTGGGTACCGAAATTTACACGCAAAAGCCATGTTAACTGAAGCAAATATTTCTGCATTTTGCTGGCAGAGTACTTAAAGCATTTATTACGCAGCTTTTCGTTTGGGATTTATAGGTTTTTAAGCATTCGCCAGAAGCCCCCGGGCTCAGGCCATATATTTTAAGATATATATGTATATATTTTATACACTTTTAAGTACTCTTTTAATTTTCGCTGTTAATTTCTTCTTATTTCAGACGATGCCAGACTGAGTCGCAATCATGCTACACTTAAGGCTATTCGATAAAACTCTGTACTACATGCTGTCCTCCGCCTCGGAATCTTCTATGGTGGCATCGTCCTCATCCACGGAAAGGGCATTCAAGGGGATGGAGGAGACTGCAGGCTTGGGAGATGGCAGCTTGCCACCCACTGACGTGGCAGCAGTTAATCTGACATATTTCACACCTGCGATATCACACGTGATTCTGGCGCCAACAACAACAACGACAACCTCGGCCACAATGGTCCAAATCCAGACGACAGCGGCGCCAAGTCACGACTTGGAAACGGTCGGCAACTCCACATCTAGCGACCCCGGCGAGTTTGAAAATTTCAATTCGTTCTACTTTTTTGAGGTGGGTGCTTAGCAATGAAAAATGAAACCAGCTAAAATACTCGCAAACAAACTAATTTATTTATTGAATTCAAAGACACAGCTGTGTACCCTGCATTTTTGACTCTCAAAATTTGATCAGTACTTCAAAAAGTCGCAATTTGTAAAACATTTTGTATGCCAAAAAATGAGATTTAAGAATTTAAATTCACACCACGTTTGTGGGAGGAGACTTTATCCGTCTTCCGATTAAAGGTTACAGGGGTTTGATTATTAAAATCAAATTGAAATGATTCACTGAGGGTAATAAAATATAAAATATCTATTCAAAGCGTGTGTAATATTTGGAAATTCTTTAAACCTTTTCTCAACATAGCAACAAATGGCTTGAGTTGTAAGTTGAACAATTTCGCACTCTGAGAAAGCTTACTTCCTCTTTGCTTATAAATAAACAATATCAATTCGATTTACTTTTATGAGGTGAGTGCGAAAAAATAGAAAGAATTTCGACCACTTATTCAATGTATTTATTGAAATTGAAAGGCGCAGCTGTGCTATTTGATTTCCATTTTAATCGACTCACTGCGGAAAAATGAAACTACGTATATTCTTAGTTTTAACAATTTAGTAGTAAAAATATATATAAAAAACACTTGAATAATGTATTATTTTATATTTAAATTGCTAAAAAATAATAAGCTAAAATTTGTTGTTATAAAAACAGCTTTCCCTCAGTGCATTTCTTCTAGATTCTCCTATAAAAAAAAAACTACTTATTTTTTGGCCAGAAGCTGCAGCAGAATTTTTTGCAGCTCCTTTCCCAAATCAAACAAAGGATAACGGCGAAGAAAGGGTCACAAAGTCACAGCTGGCGGCGCTGCTTGTTGCTTGGCTACAATTTTCAATTTGCAACAATTTTTCCCTTTTCGCAATGGAAAAGCGACGAACTGAGCAAACTTCATTTCAGGCTGACAAACCAGCCAAGTCGCAGCAGAGAAAAACAATAAAACGCCAAATGTCATTTGACAACTGGAAATTAAGAAAATCCAAGAAGAGGCAAAAGTTTTTTCCCTTATCTGGGGTAAATGATTTGCATATTTTTAAGCGTGAGAGTTGGGGAGGAAAAAGAACACTCTTTATCAATGAGGGGCAATCAATCAGAGGGCCCAGCAGATCGTGACAACAACTTCGATTAAACTAAACTTCCGTTCGTCTTCTCTTAAACTGAGACTGCCATAAAAAGCAGGCCATGAATGTAATGAAATTTCCATACGCCCCATCGTATAAATCACACCATTGTTGGAACGGAAGTAGCCCTCGACCGAGCCAATTTCCACACCCTGCCAGCCAAGTTTAAGCGCGCCAATCACTCAGAAAAGAGTGTGTGTGCGTGTATGCGTGCGTGCGTATGTGCGTGCCATAAATTCGGGCTTATTTAAATGAGTCCTTTTCCAGGACCACAGAAAAGTGGAGACAGGAACATAGGCTGGGCTTATGGGGCCGCTGCACCATATGGCATTTTGGTTGACAAAGAGCGATGTCAAGGGTTTTGTCTTCTAGTTAGAGAGAAACCAATGTAACAATAACCTCATGGTGGCTAAGTCTTATTGATTTGCTGTTTGCATAGTTGGGTATGACAATAAAATGTATTATATTCATAGTTTGGTACTCCGGCAAAGCATTTATGATCAGTTGATATGGGTAAAGGTCTGAAATTGAAATAAATAAAAGTTTCCTTATAAAGTTAATAATCTTTATTGTTCTTTCATAGATATATAGAAAAGTTTCTTAGCAAAATTTAATCCTATTTATAATACAATTTGAAAATACATAAATTATTTAATCCTCGCAAAAACCTCAACATGAATAGAATTCTTTTAAGGCCCCAAGCAAAGTGAAATAACCAAAATAATATTTATTTTTGGACTCAATATTTTTGTTACACCCCTATTAACAAGCCTTTGACAACTGGCAGCAAATGAAAAATAAATAGAAAATATTTTACATGGGTCTGATAGACTTCAAAACGAAAGTTGCTTTTGGTAATCTGTCAAACAGAAGGCGTCGCAAAAAAATAGAAGATAAAAGCGGTGGCAAAATGTTGGCATAAAAAGGTCGCTGAACCGGCAATATTTTCCTTAATGCCGTGAGGGTCCCAAATCTGTATATGTGTGTGGGTGCTGGACTGGAGACCCCAGCATAAAGGGGTCTCATATGATTTGCAATTCAAATGGCTCAGTTAAGGATTTGGCCTGACCAGCGGTCATCCGTGGCACAATTGTGATTGCTTTTTCCATTACCAAAATCTCACGAAATCCCCTGTTAACACTATTAAATCATGTTTAAGTTGATCACTGAATTCGATGAATTCCTTGTTGATGTCTCACCTTAAAGAGTGTTTCATACATAAAGTTCGACCGGCACAGATATGCCAATTACAGCTGCATTGGGAAAGGGAAAGCTGAGAGGTTGGCCAATGTCACACTTTGTTGACCATGGCCAACTGCGCATTGCTGTCCAATAAACGGGAAAGCGGATCTGAGGGCATTAGACGACGCAAATAAACGGAATCGAACGAATTTTCCGACTTTCCCTATAAGAATCGACAACATTGCGCCATTTTATGTTTGTTTCTTTGTCCGTCAGCCGGAGGAATCGAAACGATACCATATTATGCAGCCGCACACACATTTTGTTTGGCCATTGAAGGAAGGAGAATTCGTGCGTGTGGGTAGAAAATATTACATCTGCGATAGTCCTTGGCTTAGCCTTCATACATTGCGTCTCAGCTTATTACTCCATAATTACATATGCTCTCTAATGAGTCCCTACTACTCATTTCAAGGCACCCACTCACTTTTCTGATTTTTCCATTGCCACTCGTATCTAATTTTAGTCAGGACCTCATGTGGCCGCTTGTTATAATGCATATATGTATATATTAATATTACACAATTTAGCTCCAACAATGGTGACCCTGGTGTTCTGGCTAATGTGACCATCAAAGGCCAAAATTAATTGCCATTTTCCAGGGTGACAGAGCAAATATTTGGAAAAAGAAAAACAGAGCCTGTTTACATGTTGATAAAAGTCAAACAGCTGCCAATATAATAATATTGGCTAAATTAGCCTTCAAAGGACGAGTGGCTTGCTGTTCTGTAGTAATAAAGCATAGTATAAAGTTTTGGGCATAAAATTATATTTAGAGCTGACACAAATTTGAACTTTAACTTTTTATTAGCATATTCAAATTGAATTTTATATATTTAAAATGTTTTTATTATAGATTCATGTTAAGTTTGATATTCCTCAACATATTATTAGGATGACTCTTAAGATATCAATTTTAATAATACATTTTTAATGTCTAATTCAAATTCTAACTTATAAATCTTAAAGCTTACATTTCATTCAGTCAAATTCTTCGGCAAGAAAAGGCTTGCCTTGGAGCATATTTTTCGCACCCACCACAATTTCCTTTTTGCTTTGGCAAATATTATTCTGCTAAAGCGCGTCGATTCCAAGAACTCATTAATCTAGCGTTAAAATGTATCTTAAGCTTATTTGCCAAGGAAAATTAAGCATGTGCAGGAGGCAGAACGGCGAGACTTGACGCATGTAAAATATGGGACACATGTCCTTGTCTGCGTCTGGGTTCAGAACCCGTTTCTGATTCTGGAAGGTTAAACACTTAGTGGCCACAAAGCGGCATCATTAACTGACTGGCTGAGCTAGCGAGTGTGATTTGCCCTCCTCAGTATTTAACACAGTTTTTTGTGCAATTTTTCCCTTGCTTTTTTAGCAATTTAATTTGCCTTTGTCAAGTTATTTCGGCCAGTGGGGAAAATTACAGCACTAAGCGGCTTGAGAGAATAAATTTACGCAAGGACTGAAGGACTCAGCTGAGCTGCTTGTTTATGGTACCCGGCTTTGAGTATTTGCCCAGCCCTCGAGGCGGTAAATAAACATATGTGCGAACTGCTTTTTGCCTTCAAGTTGAGGTGTAATTATACATTCCGCCGAGCTTTAATGCAAATTAAAGCATAATTCCAGGCGACTGACACGCGTGGTTGGGCTTAATTACACTCTGTTGACAAAACAAAATGCCCGCAAGGCCATCAAGTGCTTGAGTGGCCAACGAGATGGCCTCAAATGTGACCATGGGGACACAAGCGTCGCTTACTTGGCTAAAAATGAGTTAACAACATTATTTGCCCATTGGCTAGCATTGAGTGTGACCACTGTGCCAGGCTCCAACATCAATTTTATTAAGGCAGCCACGATGGCCGCAGGTCCTTGATGACTTCTATTCCGTTTTGCCCTGTGAATCCTTGGGCCCAGCCCATAAAATACTTTTTGACAAGAGTTTTATCTGGCACGTCGCCTGTTAGTTGGATGTGTCATAGCGATTTATAAGGATTTGTTGCCACCAAGAATAACCACTGACAGCTGCAGTGAGAAAAATCAGTGGAAATGGGACAAAGACAGGTTTCTTTGGGATGTCATGGTAAAAATTTAAGTAGATGGTTAATCCGCTTAAGGTGTTTCTTTTCTTGAATGTGCATTAGGAGATTCCTGTCTCGTTAAATTGCTTACCTTATATCAGTTATTGTCAGCTTATCATATTTTTTCATCAACTTTCCGCATATAAAAACGTCCTTGAAAATCAAGGATATGTTTGTCTTCTTTTGCTTTGATATTTCTCCCAGTGATTCCTTTACTGACTCGTGTTTGTTTTCGATAAAATATGAGAATTGTATTTCACTCGGCATTGAAAGTCAATGCACTTCCGCCACTTTAATCTAACCGTAATGAGGCCGCAGGACAGGTTTGTTGACATTTCAGCTTCGCTGATTTCTGGCAGCTCATCAACCGTTCACCGACACCAAAATTCAATGGAAACAAATAGTTCATATCTCAGGTTCAATCTCGGGTTCATTGGACCCTCTTTTTCATCGCTGGCATTTGCCGAAAAGACTGTTCAAATTCCCCAAAGTGTCACTTGACCAGCAAAATCAATAA